ATGGTGTAATTGATTAAGGTAGCAACGTGATGTCATCATATCACCCACTGCACAGCGATTAGGCTTTCTGAAGAATTTAATTAAAGTTGAATTCCACTGTAATTTCTTTGTTTTCGTTTAACAATGAAGAAATTTAGAAAAAAATCTATTTAACTAGAGAACGTCTTAATTTTCCTCCTTCTGAAATCTGCTTTTGCTTTTATTGCTTTATTTACCTTTCAAACTGTGTCCCGACTGACATTTTATCCTCTGTCTTTTGCCTCTGCAGTCTGTTTTCCTTCCTTCCTTACCTTAGGCACCTGTCCTGTCCTCTCCCTCTTCCCTCTGTGCCTCTGCCTAGCTTCTAGTCTTTTACGCTCAGGTGAGTGCCCATTTAACTTTCTGTGCATGTGCTTTTGCTTTGATATGCGGGAGTAGCTTTCATTTGCATGCGTTTGCTCTTGTGTGACGCATGCCAGCCTGCCCGAACCTGAGCTTTTGAGTGGACCTGCTGTGTCAGCGGTGGTTGGGAATAATTCATTTATTCATTTCATTTAATGACCTTTCATTTTATTTATTTGTTTCAATAATTAATGATTTAGGTTTGGGCTCAGGCCTGTTTGTTTAAAGAGCTATTGTTCTTAGTTGCTGGGTTGGCTGCTTTCCAAGAGTTTTTTTTTTGTCCTTTTTTAATACCTTTCTTTGAATATGACTGCACCCCTGGGAATGGGAACGTAATACCACTCGGCTGTGCCTCGGCACAACCAGTTCTAGGGAAAACGGCTTCTTCCTGTGAGGCTTCGGGGATTCAGGTCCGGTGTTTTCACTCTCCTTCGCCTTCACCATCAGGAATTTCCCCTCCATAATTGGCTCCAGCACCAAGACTCTTGGCACACCTTTTTGTGTGTATACACAAATAAAAGTTCCTGTTTCTTGGCTTTAGTGTACAGTTCTACAAATAACCTTTTACCAGTCTAGCACCTTTACATTATGTATGGCTTCTTTAAATTTAAGTGAAAATAAGTGAAAAAAACAGGAGTCAATACTGGAGTTCAAATATTGTTTAACCCCTTCGATGGTGTTGGTCTGCTGGTGGGTCCAAAGTTGAATTCCACACTTCTATAACCTAAGAATAGCTCAGCCAGTTTGCATTAAAGTCCTTGTAGTTACTGAATAACAAACCTTAATATGTAGTAAGCATGGGATTTTAAGGGGTTAAAAGATATCATGAAAATGGGACTCCTAACAACCATGTAAGACCTGATAGACCACCAAGACTGTCACCATCAGATAAACAGTACTTAAAACTTCTGTCTTTGAGAGAGAGGAGAAAGAACTTCCAGTTTTTACTGTATTTATACATATTTTCATCCATTCTAATGACATATGGTGTGAAAACACACTCTTTGCCAGGACAAATGGCTGTAAACAATCTGCTTAGGTGCCTAAGACTTTTGTGTGTTTTCTGCTTTGTTCTTAGAATGAAAATGAATACAATCAATGACATTTTGACTGGAAATTAAATAATTGACGAGTGGTCTCTGACTTGTGCACAGTACTGTATGTGACTCTGTGGCATGTATGCGTGTTTGAGTTCCCATGTAAAGGACTAAAACTTAAGCATCATTCAAAATGCAAACCTTATTCATCCCTAGGCTCTGACCGTTAAAGACAGGAATTTACAAGCTCAGTGCCTTTTTTCACTCAGGCAGGGCAGGGACACCTGCAAGTGCTGCATGTTCCAGAAGTTCCAGATGTTGAAGGACATGGTCTAGGGGGAGGGAGTTTGTTCCTCAGTCTTTTGGGGCTCCAGCCTCTTTCCTGCTCTCTCCTCTGGGTCCGTTCTCACACTTACAGGCCAAGCGGTCACCTCCAGCAGTGCATTACCTGTGATTATTACATTCCATATGGACCTCATTTATGAAGTTCCTGATTCATAACGTGGCAGTGGATGACTAACGACGACAGGCTGGTGATTTATTCCTGCTGAGGCTTTGTGCTTTTTTGACTGACTTTCTTTGGGGCTTTTGAGACCTGGACTGAATTGAATTGTTTTATGCTTTCCTGTTGGGTCACCCATCAGACGTGTAATCACATGGCTGTCCTTGCAGGGGCCAGTATGAAGTAATGTGTATTTTATTGTGTATGTGTGTTTTTTTTACTACATTTTTAGGACAAAAATGTCTGGAAAAATAGAGAAAAACAGGGCTAAGCTACACTGTCAGAACCAGCTAAATGGTTTTACAGAAACTTGCCATAAAAAAATCTCATTATGTATTACTTATAAATCCGTTTTTACACCAGCTTTATTTAGGTGACATTAGCAGCTTTTTGCCTCCTAGTGTTGGTCCTATTGACGGAAGGCCGCAAGTTCGATTCCTGGTGATGCCACAGCTATCCGTGGAGGCTAGGAGAGAATAATTGGCCTCGCTCTTTCTGGGTGGTTAGGATGGTACTCTTTTCCCCATCACTCAACACAGTGCTTGCCAGTGCAGGCATCTGTTAACTGATGTAACAGAATTGGCAATTTGTGGCAATTTGCGTCATTCTGCAAGCGAGCCGAGCTGTCCAGTGCTGTTACGTGTTTGACAGTTCGAAAAGATTTGGTGGTGTTTCACTTGTAGGAAGCACTTGATAGCTTTCTTCTTACTAGCCTATTGTGATGGGGCAGATCTAGCTAGTGGCTAGAATTGGACATGACTTAATTGGGGAGAAGATGGGATGAAAAACAAACAAACAAAAAACTACTAATTAGAAGATAACAGGTTGTGTTATGACAGCAACAATACATATAATACATATCGCCACTGTCTAAAAAAATGTTTAGTATTGTACATCATTTGAACACAGCAGCAGCCCCCAATAGAAATGCTCCAAAATGACTTGGAATCAAATCTCTTTACATTAACTTTAAGTTAGCAATGTTTTTATAATCTCCAGATAAGATTGTATTTTGGAGATAGATGTTTTTTATTTTGGACAGTGACAATATGGGACATATGTAGGTCCACAAGCATGTGCGTGTATATTGGAAAGGAAAGCCAGTTCATTCTGTCCAGACTGAAAATCCTCTTGTCTTTGGCAGGCGCCGCTGTAGATAGGAGCACTGGAAGACTGCAGTAGTGAGAGTTTTCTTTTCTACACCTCACTCACTTCCAGCTCACCCTAAAGTACTTTGCAGTTTGTCTGCTGGCTCCATTTTTTGTAGCGTTAATTAAAATTCCCTCCGGAATATGTCAGTTGAATGAATAAGAGGGCTGGTGTTGTTTTCCACCATAATGGGTCCAGTCGCTGCCATGTTATGACCCATGAATTCCTTGGAAAGACATTTATTATAGGATATCAACACCGCAGAACTTTATGACGGAGAGTAAAGACAGCAAAAGCAACTGAAAGATGGATGCCTCACTGTGTGCTAGCAGGACCTTGGGCTGGCCAGCCTGGACACTGTAACGCAGGCCTAACAGAATTTGCATTAATAATAATAGCAAAAAGCCTGGCAGTTCTCATGGAGCAATTTGGTGTGCTGTACATCTGTGATAATTTATTTTGATGGCAGAATTTAGCTGTAGCAGCAGGGTTCCAATAAATCTAAAGCCTCTCTCCAACCACACTGCTTTGTGTGAGCTGTTTTTTCATAAGCACACATTAGTGAGTGGAACAAGGCAGATATTTATTTCTCACGCCTGTAAGCTTCGCTGGTGAGCATCAGCAGCTTAGAAGGGAATTTCACCAATTTTTCAAAATGTCTGCGTTACTAAGCTGTTAAAAAAATAATTCAGAGTGTTTAATGTAAAATGGTACATTGTAGAGAAACTTATTGACCCCTTTGGATTTCTTTGGTGGTGGTAGGAACCAGGGGCTGTGCTGTCTACAGTACAAATATAGCCATATAAATTGCTGTCCAAACTGTTTTGAGTTTTATCTGTAATGTCAATAATGGTAAAATAGTAGTACAATAGTAGATTTTAAAATGTATGTTTTAGGCTAAAACATTCATGAAACTTATTTCACTGTAAAAAAATATTTTCACTGTCAAATTACTGTAAAATTTAATGTAACTAGTTGAACTAAAGTGTAAAATGAGTGTAATTTTACAGGCTTTTAGCATCATTCAGAATACATACTTTTACTGTCAATTAATGTTTTTTTTTCTGGCACCCCTGCCGCCGGACATTTTGGTGCTTTTTTGTAATTTTTTTTTGTTTGTAATGTATCAAAACAGAATGTACAAACAAAAGGTATAAAACAGTGTCTCAGGGGTCAGACAGTGTATTTGTAATTATTTAATGGAGTAGCTTTGTGTAACTTTTAGAGATGTTAAATGCTTTGGACGTCTGGTTCCTATCACCACCACTGTAAGCAATTCTGACTCTAGAATGGAGCATCTCACTACTCGGAATGACATTGTTTATGTCACACAGAAATTTTAGGAAAACCAGCGGAATTCTTCTTTAATATTGGAAGTTGAAGCGTGTCAAGTTTAATGAAGCTCTCTCTGATAAAGAATCCTTAATGTAATGTCAGATACTTGTTTGTCATAAAGAGATTAGTGTGCAAGTCAGTTTGCAGCCCAGACTGGCAGTGCATGCTGAAGTGTACATTCAAAAAAAAAAAAAGAATTGGGTGGTATGAAAAAATCACTTCTCACTCGTAGCTCATTCCATGAAAAGTTTTTGTTTTCTGTAAGGACCTGTCTGAGACCATTCTGACACTATACACAATGCCAAAACACGCTTTTATGTAGTTTTGACGTTGCAACAAAGGGCAGACCTGAACTTGTCTATATGGAATGTAAACTGAGTGTAAGGCAAAGTCAAAGTCAGCTTTATTGTCATTTTTCTCAACACAGATATAGTAAGGCTATAGTAGTAAGGCTGAGGTAGCAGTTCAATGAGAATGTTAAAAGGTGTAAATGTAATCCATTATGTAATTAATTCTAATTAGAAAAAAAAATAATAAAGCAAATTCTAATAAAGCATGTTCCTTTACACAAGTCTTTCTCTCTTCTCTCTCTGCAGAAGTCCTCGGCTGATGTGGAGCCGAAGATGTCACTGTCTGAGCGGATGAAGATTCTGCAGGACAAGGAGGAGCAGTGGAAAGCCAAAGGGAAGGGAGCCGCCAACGACTCCACACAGTTCTCTGTGGCTGGCCGCATGGCCAAGAGAGGTATAAACTCGTCCAGACTGAGTTTTGTTGGCTCTGTATAGTTCCCCCAGAATATATTGTGCTGAACTGATATCTCCATCATGATGGTGTTTTTCTCCTGTGAGTTTTCTGTTCACTGTAGTGACTCTGTTTTTCCACCAGGTCTTGTGTCCCCCAACAGAGACGACTTGCCTGTTATCCTCAGCAAGAAATCAAGCCACAGCACACCAGTCAAGCCTTTAGAGGGTAAAGCTTCCACACAGTCTAGGACTGTTTTACTCACTTGTGGCCCTGAAGAAGCCCCGCCCTGCTTATTTCAAGTGCCCATATCATAGAAAAACAAAATAACCTTTTGCTTTTCTAAAATAAAAGAAATGAAAGTTTTAAAACATACCGTTCACTCCCCAGTCCATACAGTCCAGTGTTTTCGGGATGTTACAAAAACCTGTACATTTACATAGATCTGCCTGTTAACCCAACAGCAGTACTTTTTAAATGAGGCACAGTACAGTAGAGCCAGTCAGAACAGAGGTCTTTTACATATTTTTGTCTTAAAGGCACAATAAAAAGTTTAATTCTGCTTAATTCTAAAGGGATAAAGAGAACTTGTATAACCTCATATAAAAATAAATCACACTGTTTTTAATGCATAAAACCACACAAACATGATAAGTGAACCTCAGGAAATAATATAGTACACAAAGTATGTAAAACCTGTGCCTGATCAACTGTTCTAACATACTACCTCCAAGGAATCTTCATGTTAACAAGGTTGAACTGGGTGTGTTTGGGTGTGTTCATCTGTGGCAAGTTTGTTTTGAATAAAACTAATCTTGGAGAACCTTCTCTGCTAACGCCAAGAATGCTGCCATTCAAAACTGGTGGGAACCAAATAAGTGTTCAATGTAATTGTGTAATTTATTGATAAACATAATAACTTAATTCATTTATACAGGTTGTTCTAAACATATAAGCAGAGGCAAATGAGTAAATGAATCAGTGGGTGGTGAGATGTGTTCATGGCATATAATATTTCTGCAGAGATTTCCGCTCGACCCGATGCTGAGGGAGACAAGAGGCTTGACAAACTGGAGTCCTTTTTAGACAAACTGCACAATAAAGGTTAGTTCAGCATTTTTGTTTTTTAGTGTTGTATTATTACTGAAGGCGGTACAGTTTGAACAGTACGGTTATGTTTCAGCAGGTGTGGGGAGTAGTAAGCCCTCCACCATCGAGGTTACAGAGGAGAAGGAGAAGGAGGTGATGGCTCTGGATGATGATGAGACATTCGGGCGTTTTTATAAATGCATTTCCCCAACAACCCTGAGCTCCAGCCTGCTGCTGGACGAGGAGGAGGACTTTAGCACCATCCAGTCTGACACGCCAAAGTGAGACGCCACTCCATCAGACTTTGTCTCACTCTAGGGTCTCACTCACTCTCTTTTTCCTTTCTTTACGTGTGCACTGTTATTAATAAAGGTGCCAAAAAAAACCTTTGGTTCTTTGGAATGATGCCAAAGTTTTGGTTCCCTAAAGAACCTTTCAGCATATGGTTCTTGAATAAACATGTTCGTAATTAAGATTTTCTTCCATCATTTGTCTCCTGCATTTTTCTCTTTCTGTTTATCATTTTAGGACTCACTAAGTGTGCATTGTTCTCAGGTCCCCGGGTTTTTCTGGTTCTTTCTCAGGTTAAACTCAGAAGTGGCAAATCACAGGCGGGCTGTGAGGCCATCTCGCAACACGAAGGGTTCCAAAAACCCTCTGCGTGCTCTGGCAGCGCGGGACGACCTCAAGCAAGCTTACACCGAGCAAAGACTCAACATAGCCACTGTGGAGACCAAAAGGATACAAGTGGAGCGGAGTGAGTCTTTAAAGCATGTTTTAACTGCTGAATTATTGTCAAAGTAGCTGCTTTTTAAAAATAATTTAACTAATAATGCTGCATATTTTGTTGTTTCCCTCTTGCTGCTGCAGTGGCCAAGCACTCAAGGCTGGCGGACTGTGCCTTGGCTGGTTTGGCCAGTAAAGAGAACTTCAAGAAAGTGAATCTGCGCAGCATCAAATCCACTGAGGTGGTGACCAACAACAGCGCTGTGCCCTTCCACAAACTCATGCTAATCCAAATCAAAGGTCAGTGATACTGAGACCAGAGTCGAAAGAGAAGAGGGTTGAGCTGAAGAAAATTAGAGAGACTTTTAGACTACATACTATAGGACATGTTTTGAAAGGACCTCAGTTGTGAAGAGATGCACACATTTTATCATCAGGTTAGCCGCTCCTGATGTGCCGACAACACTGGATGATGATAACACTGATATGCGCATGCGCAGTAACTATTCTCTTAGAGGTCATATGACCACATATTGCATTTGCATCCACATACTGAAATGGAAATGAAATCTGATTTGAAAACCTTAGATCTATGGTACTGTGCAGAAGTCTGAGGGCACCCTTCATTTATTAAATTTCTGGTCAAAATGGCCATTAAGCACAAGTTATTCATGTTTCAAGAGATACTTCTGAGGGGATCAGATGTAAGATAATTCACTTGCATAAAGAATTGGATTATCAAAGGAAAATAAGTAAAAAAACCACAAATCTCCAAAACTGGAGTTATTAATTTATTAACAACTCCAGTTGGAGTTATTATTGGATTTATTATTAAAAGACGGGATTCCTTACAACCATGTAAGACCTGGCAGACTACTAAAATGTCACCATCAAATAAACCTATCACAGTAAATACTGAAAAAATGATATATTCACTTATTAAGACTTCTGTTAAATATGTGTTTTCTGGTTTTGCTGATACTGAAAAATTAATAACGTATTTAATGGGATAATGGAATGAAATAAGTGAAAGCTAGTCTCTGCCTCTTGCATAGACTATGACTGATGAGTGAATTAAGAAGTTTGATCCTATGATTTTATCTAGTTTCATCTACTGAAATGTGTTATCTGTATATGTTTGTGTGTTTGTGTGTTGGCGCAGGGCGTAGGCATGTTCAGGTGCGCCTGGTGGAGCCAACGGCCAGCTCTCTGAACAGTGGAGACTGTTTTCTGCTGATCACCACTAAGCACTGCTTCCTCTGGTGTGGAGAGTTTGCCAATGTTATTGAGAAAGCCAAGGTACTCCCGTACAGCCTCATTGCATCGCTTGTAACATGTTTAAGTAATATAACACAAGAGGGAGGTGTTTTGTTGCAAATAACATCATAGCTGTGATTTGATCGCAGATGCTGTTGATCATGGATGTACAACTTTGGTCCTGGACAGTTTGTTGATTTCTCTGCTCAGACAAACCTAATTCGACTCATCTGTTAATTGCCAGGTGTAGTGGGTGCGTTTTGCTCGGGAACTACCAAACTGTGCTGGACATTTGCTTTCTAGAATCAGAGTTGTGCACCCCTGCTGTAAGTCATCATAGCTTTGATGTTATTAACAATAACCCTAAGTGCTTTTATACAGAAGTTATTGACAGTTGACCCATCCATGATCCATCTATCGATGCGTTCTGTTGTAGCAACTGTTCTGAGAGTTGTTGAGCCTTATAAAACATGGGTGAAAGTCCCATTTAACCTAATGAGAAATTGTAGCATGCAACTTTGTCAAAATACATAGATTCTGAGTGCTTTATTAACAACAGTTGCTACGGAACAACATATTTGCGGGCAGAGCATAGACAGGTGAATTCCTTCTGCCAAAAAGTAGTTTCAGTAGCTTTGAGTAAAGCAACCATTGTTGTTACTTAGGAACAAGTGCTTAACAGAATGATACAGGTATAGTGAAAAAAGTGCTGTTATCAGAAATAACAACAATAAAAAGCTTTTCAGTCAGTCAGATGGTCTGATTGAAGAGTTGATCGAGGTCGTGTCCTAATACTAGTAACGTTGCTGTAATTTCGTTGCAGGCATGAGCTAAAGGTGAGTGTAATAGTTCATCCCAGATGTAAAGTGATTTATGATAGCACACAACCTCAAGAGTTCTGTTGCTTTTATACAGCTGTTCTACAAATAAAGCAACAAGTTAAATAATAAAAATAATAAAATAATAAATGCATTGTATCAAAAGTATTGGCAGTTCCCTCCACCAAAAAGTTGCCTTTTGTGTTACTGATAGAGCTATAAAACCATTACAATATCAGGTTCAGCTTAACTTTTTCAGTACTCCAGGACTGGCAGTTCCAGTCAGTCTCTAAAGCAGTCCATCTTATTTGCCGAATTGTATTCTGTTCTTTTCTGACTGAGTTTTTTTAGTTATTCTGCTGTCACAGGTTTGGAATTTCATGTAGGCCTGCTGTCACATTCTTTTTCAGAATCTGACCGAACCGGCTGCAGGTCAAATATTATCTCACAGATGTATCCATTGTATTGATTTTGTTGTTTTTATGTGTGCTAAAGTTGAAACTTAGTAAGTTTAGCTGTAGAAAAGCTAGGGATTACTGACTGGCCTGTGGAGCCAGTGCCCAGAAACTCTGACTGCCAGGGGCCTTGTGGGGCCTCAGACCACAAGGCCTGAAGTCTGTCAAATACTTGGGACAGTTCACTGCAGATGTTAACATTATATGGACTATAACAACGACTATAAAAGAGCTCAAACTGTTAGGCTGTAGACACAATAGATGACACCTTCAGACTTTCTCAAGCACACCTATTTTGTTATCATTGTTGACTATGGAGCCACGAGACTGAAAAACAGTCCTCTAGTCTATGCAGCGTGTTTTAGTACCACGTGTTTAAGTTGAAAAACCAGCAATTATTGTGCATCATCGTAGCCTTCTTTAAAAAACCTAACCTTGCTATTTTGTTATGTAATTGTCCAAAACAAAAAAGAAACAAAGTACACATACAGTTGTATGCGAAGGTTTCACTTTTCAAGTCCTATGAATGTATTTGTTAACTGTTATTGTTAGAGTTGGGGGCCTCCATAGATGCTTGTGTCCAGGGGCCTTGGAAGATCATGATCTGTCGCTGAGTAAAGCAAGTTGTTATTTAGCAACCTATGTTAAAGTCACTGTGGAAAAACTGCTGAAATCACAAATACCAGCACAGGTATAGCGTTTCTCAACCAATCAAACTGTGCCGGCAGAACTATCTGATGTATAAAAAGACACATTCACTGCATTGTTTTGTCAGTCCGTTTTTTTTTCTCAGGTGTTTTTACAGTCCAGCCCTCTCCCACTTTCCAGCAGTTTAAAGTGTAGAGTGATGCTTTGATTTGATTCCTTTTATTGTTCTGTATGGTTCACTGCTATTACAGCTGGGTCAGTGCCACACATCAGAAGCTACTAGACTGGTTTAGATTAGCATCAAGTAAAATGTGTGTTCCATATGTGTGTGTGTGTGTGGGGGACAGGGCTCAGAGATGGCGCAGTATGTACAGGCTAAGAGAGACCTCGGCTGTAAGGCCCCACAGGTCACTGTGCTGGAGGAGGGCATCAACACAGACAACCGCTTTGCCAAAGAGTTCTGGAACCTTCTTGGAGGACAAACAGAATACAGAGGTACTGAACATACACGAACACTCACTCGTACGCACAAATACGCCATGTAAAGACTGCACATGGAGCGCAGCTGTTGAGTTGAGAACAGACATTACACGGTCAGTAAACACATTCAGTCACGTGCACTGAGTGAATGCCACCTGATAGACTCTGATTAAAGGGGGCAGCTTCACATTAGAATGGACCTCTTTTACACCCATGCAATTACAGAATGGAATAAAATTAAATGAAAGCAGTTAGCAGGGGTAGACAGATATTGCTTTTACGATTAACAAGCATGATTTATTACCAAAAACAGACAGGTGTTATTTTGAATAAGGAAATATTTATTAAAAACTTTACGTTAATAGGAATACTACTTTTGTGGTGACCATGGTGGTCTCTCCTGCTGAGCTGGCCTGCTCGGGCATCATTCAATCTAGGTTATTAAGATGGCTTTACAAAGCCAACTTAATAGCCATAGATTGTAAAGCCTATATGGGTGTAGAGCTCTTGTGCTTTTGGGACCTATCGCACATGGTTTTTCATACAGCGTTTGTTTAAACACAACTTTTCTTCCCCATAGAAAATGAATAGAGAAAAGTTGAGAAAATTCAAATCTAACTGCCACAAATGATGTAACCAAGGACATCTCACACTGCTCCTCGTAGACATTACATGCACACTTGCATGCGTATTAACATACGTATATAGTGTCACAGAAGGGGGAGGGGCCGACGCACGCTGACCGGGAAACCCAGCGAGAGGTCAGAGACACACACAAACACCTGCGCGAGTGAACCACAGCGCTTTATTTAGACATTTAATCAGTAAAATAAACCAAAGCTTATTTAGCCTTTTTGATAAAGTCCTCAAGCCTCTCTTGCTCGCTTTCTCTCTCTCTGACATGTTTCTTACAGGCCAGCGTCCTCCTCCCCTCTCTCCAGAAGAGAGAGAGTGCATTTTTAAAGAGTCTATGCTCCGCTCTTCATTAGCCGCAGCTGCGCCAAATCAAGGGAGAGGAGTAGCTCGCACATGCATGTCGGAGTGGTCATGGCGGCTCAGTCTCTCCACCGCCACAATATAAACACACACACACACACACACACACACATATTAGCAACCACCTGGGATACTATAGCAGTGGCCAAGCAACACCTTAGTGACCACCTGGAATACCATAGCAACAGCTTTGTCATGCCAACTTAAAATTCGTTCACAAATTTTCCCCTTCTAGTTTACTGTAATTACTGTTTAGCCACTGCAGTAATAGCTGGCCAGTGCAACGACAGCTTATTGAACACCTTATTTTATTTAAGATCTTATTTCATAAATGGATATTAGCAAACTTTAGCCAACGGCACAGCATCTATACCAGGCAGACCAACTCAGCAGGGGGGGACCACCACAGTCACGTGTGGTGGTTACAATTAACAAGTTGCAACAAAACCTCATTTGTCTTGTTAGTTCTGTGTCTGATTAGACAGACTTCTTAAAATAAAATAAAAATTGGTCATTCGGACCACAGGCTTGGTATTTTTAGACGCCAAAATGTGAAATGGAAGCTTAGTTAGCAGTTAGCATTAAACAGACCACGTCTACATAATCACACATTTGTCTCAAATAATGTCTAAGTTGTTAAGTAATCTCAAATAGACTTGCTTCTGTGGTTTCTGGAGCTGTATGACATACTGTTGTCTATAAAAATGGATGAAATCTCTTGTTGAGCTGAAAGATGTAGTAGTAGATATCCTAAGTCCTGAATTTTGTTGACCCTTTTGTCCATTTTATAGATATTTGTATACACTGCCAGAAAACACTTGTACAGCTCTTTTTGAGATTACTTAAATAGATGTCATGTCAGACATGTCTTCGCTGATCTACATGTAGGGTAATGAGAAAATTGTGTACATTTTTTTGCTTAAGTATTTTTAAGCACTTCTTATAACTGATATATATTTATATCATATTTAACTTAAATATGTGACTTTGACTGTCTTGTGTGTGTTTTGTGTAGCTGCTGGTGATCCAGAGGAAGATGAGCTATATGAGAGTGGTATTGTGGAGTCTAATGGCGTGTACAGGCTGGTGGAGGGTAAGCTGATGCCTTATGAGGAGGCGTGGGCTTCCATCCCCAGTGTGGCCCTGCTCAACTCCAAAGAGGTCAGACATTACTGTCTACATGACTGCTTTCAATGGTTCATTGTGCCTGCAGATAACATAAGATGTTCTGTGTTAGTGTGAATAACATCGTGGTTGTGATCTATAGAGCTCCTGCCTGCGACTGAATCACATCTGTTATGTTAGTTGTGATATCAAACAATCTCCAGTGTACTTTGCTTTTATACAACAGTTCTGCAAAATTAACAAAAAGGAGATCTAGAATATTATCTGAAATGTGTAACATTATGAATTGCAGGGTAAAGTTGGTTTTATATCGGACATTCACTGGATGTTTGACAGTTTCTCTGCATTTCTCAAAAATTATTTTCTCACTCCTAAAAGTCAGAGACCACCTACAATAAAACATATTTCAAAAATGTTTGTTACACTTAACATAATGTTCCAGAAATACATATCTCTGACGCGTTAGGGGCCCGTCGTGTTCTACTTAAACAAAACAAAACAAAAAATGTGATATTCGTTGAAAGTTTAGAATCTTCATTTGTCTCTTTAAGCAGCGAGTGAGAAATGATTAAACAGAATGTAAAAAAGAGGAGTTTAATGGCACATACACTGTGGGGGACCTAAATTTTGCACATCTAATTTATTTTGTAATTAATTTTGTGCAGAACTATAACTATAATACATACAGTCTTATGCAAATGTTTGAACAAATAACGTTTTGTTTTTGTTTTAAATTACATATTTTATTGATTTTCTAAGTGAAAATAACTCATCACGTCCTCCACAGAGAACAAATGTAAATATTGCATTTTTTCAGCACATGTTGGTGCACAATTTCAGCTACTATGTTTAGAGGTTAACATATTGAAAAAATGAAAGTTAAAATGTAAAATATGCCGTAATTTTTGCACAGGCCAGTTTTTTTTTTCCAATATATTAACCTCAGCACATAAGCAGTAAATGTGCATTAAAATTTGTAGAAGTGTGTTTCCTGTAGAGGATGTGTGCTTATTTTCACATGGAAAATCAACAAAACGTCATTTGTAACTAGAGTGCTCTGAACTTATACAGCTGTATGACTATATGTCTTTTTTGGTGTGTGTATGTGTGTGTGTGTGTGTGTGTGTGTGTGTGTGTGTGTCAGGCGCTAGTGTTTGATTTTGGCAGTGAGGTGTATGTGTGGACGGGGAAGGATGTGGCGCTGAGTGACAGGAAGGTGGCCATGCAGCTGGCCAAACAGCTCTGGGGCGGAGTTTATGATTACAGCAGCTGTAGGGTCAACCCCCTCAACCCCCTTTCAACCAATAAGGATGTCCCTGTGTGAGTCATTGTTCTGTTGGATTTAGTGTGGCAGCATTTTACTGTTTGCTTGAACAACTGACAAATACTTTTTCACACATCCTTTGGCCATTTTTCATCCGTAGTGCTCAGCAAAATAACTCAGTCAGATTGCTCTGTTCAGTCTACATATTCATCTGTAGATGAGAATTGTACTGATATGAAAATATCAGTACAGTGATAATACAATTAGTGCCTCAGTCACTGTACTGATACTGTACTGCCCCCAGCTGGTGACTTCAGGCCATGAATTGAATGCACCTATTGCACCTTCCCTCACCTGCTTTCCTCTCTCTTGGTGTTTTTTGTCTATGTTTGCATATGAGCAGACAAGGTGAGGGCAGGCCGAGCTGGGCTTTGTTTGGCAGGCTTTCAGAGCACAATGAGACAGCTCTCTTCAGGGAGAAGTTTCTGGACTGGGCCGAACGTAAACCGCTAAAGGAAGAGCCAGCAGCAGAGGAGATGAAGGTGAGAGTGAACCATACCTTCAGCAAAGATTAGAGGTGTAAATCCCTCTCAATGTTTCGATTTAAAAAAAAGTCTTTAGAAAGTGATTCAAATCTCAGATTTCACCACGACTTGATTAAGTTTGATTATTTTGGTTCTACTCAGAATTATTTTCACTCTGACTAAAGTACTGTGAATACACACAGGTGAAACTGTTTACACAGTAGTAGAATCTAAACAGTAAAATTTTTAAAATTTAAATTTAAATTTTTTAAAGGTGTATACATATATGCTATTGATTAAAGAAGTGATTCAGCTTAAAATCAAATGTACACAGTTATAGTGATATAAATGTGGCATCAGTGCTGGAAAGTTAAATGAATGATTCAGAGGAAAATCAAATTTACATAATTTTCCACTTGCCCCCAGATGTAGTCAGTCAGCATCAGACAGGTTTGGTGTCCAAATTTGGCTTCTTTAGTTTAGTGCTAAAGCTGTGAGGCTGATGTTGCTAAGAAACACTAGAAGTCAATAGACACCCAAATCTTCATTTTTATAATTCACAATAAGCCACACTGTGTCAAGTCTGTGTGTTCTGGAAGAAGTTTTGAGGATGTGTTTACATAAAGGATTTGGGAGACTATTGACTTCTAGCGTTTGGTAGCAACATCAGCCTTGTAACTACACCGTGAAACTAAAGAAGCAAAATCTGGACAGTCTGAGGTAAAAGGAAAATTGTGCAAATTAGATTTTTTACTGAAGCTTTCATATCGCAAAGTACTTATCACAAAGTACTGCAGTCTTACTCAGTTTTCTTCTATAAACATACATGTCAAATGTCATTGCAGTACATTTTTTTTTAAAGGCACATTACACCATTCTCTATATGTCTCTCTGCTTAGAGTCCAGTGGGCCAGCCCTGTATGCCTACCAGTGATTCTGAACTGAAGCCATGTGATGTGAGAGCTCTGCTGGATGGAGGTGAAAATCCTCTGAAGATGCTCTTAGAGGGTGTGGACGTGCAGAGAGGTTACGGATTGGTCCGCTCTGAAGATGGGCGGCAGGCGGAGTTGGCCACAGTGTCGGTGGATGCCTGGCACATCCGAGAGTTTGACGATTTTGAGATTCCAGCTGAGAGTGTAGGTCAGCTGCATGAGGGCGACACCTACGTCATCCGCTGGAAGTACTCCATCACTAGCGTCGGTGAGTGAGGCATCATGGGTAGTGTAGGTCCCAATCCCTGCCTGCTCATTTTTGTGTTTTTCCTGCTCAAGTAATGTGTTCAGAGGGTCCTAGTCAACCAGATCATAACTACAACTGGTAAACTTATCGTGTGAACTGAATATGTATCCTCTGAGATGGAACAATGCCAGCTTGGTCTCCTGAATTCACATGGCATCTAAGAGTGTACCACCAAAGTGCTACCGCACCTTTTCAAACTGCTGCTGACACAACGTCATTGGACAGCTCATCATGCTTAAAGGAAAATACTGACTGCCATTTCCATCACATCAGTCAACTGACACCCAGGATGAATGATGATGGATCCTACCCAACTAGAAAGACCGAAGCCAGTTATGGTGTCTTAGGGTCCCAGTCACTGATGGCTGTGCTATCGCTGTGGAATCGCAGTCTTCTAATGATAGGGCCTGTGCTTAAGCTAGACCAACACTTCACAGTTTTTAGCCCAGTTTGCCCCTTCTGACAAATTTTCATAATCTGAAGCAGTTTTCCAGGTCAGGAAGTAATTGAGGGCATGGATGATCTGCTTGTGTGAGAGAAGAAACAAGTCAGTCTTTAGCCTTCAACGTCAAACTCCAGAGTGACCAGAGACCTTTCGATATTTTTAAATGTTTTATTTTTCCAATGCAAAACATTCACAAGTCCTATAGGATGAAGTGGATAGCAATGTAACGGAACGAGTGCTTTAAGCAATAGCCAATGAGAGAGTCCAGTAGGACAGAAAAAGAACAAAGGGAAGGATATGCATGCCACAACAATGTGCAGCATTGTTTGCATCATGTGATAACAGAGAGATTTAGGGTTTAGCATTGTTTGTATTACATGATAACAGCGAGATTTAAGGTTTTAATTGCTTTTTCATAGCTGAAACTCAGTTCAGTGCATTTTTGCCTTTTTGTCTAATGTGCTCACAACAAAATACTAGAAAATGCGTACAAGACTGACGCTAAATGTGTGATGCTGTCCCGTTTTGAAATTCTGATTATGATTTTAAAAGTTACATAGTGTACGCACAGCGTAAGACACTTGTGCCACTCAGAAGCCCCAGCTTACCTGAGTTTACCACTTATATTTACAAGTTTGTCGGTCACTTGAAGTCAACTTTCTTGTGGTAAACTCGGGAATTCATATCACACTCACTTCAACTCAGTTGGATCAAGTGTGTCAGAGCACAGTATGCAGGAGAGGGAACTCTAGTCCAGGTTTGGAATCCACTGGTGTAGTTCTGCTTAAACTGATTTAACAGAGCATATAATAACTTAAGTATTATCTGTCTTCTATGCACCTATGTGACTGTGTGTGCAGTGGGAAAAAGGCAGAAGCCAGGTGAGGTGAGTGCGTCAGGACCGGGGAGAGAGCGCACTGCCTGTTTCTTCTGGCAGGGCCGTCACTCCAGTGTGAGTGGGCGAGGAACGTCAGCTCTGATGACGGTGGAGCTGGGGAACCACGAGGGGGCGCAGGTGCTGGTCTCTCAGGGCAAAGAACCACCCTGCTTTCTACAGCTCTTTCAGGGAGGTCTTATCATCCACAAAGGCTGCAGGGAAGATGCTGCCAAAAACACAGGTATTCTATTACACTCAGTCTTACATGTACTCATGATTAAAATATTTTCTCTTAATTTTATGGTGCATTGAGATAATAGAAGCCAAAGCATCCCCACTGTGTCCTGTATTGCAGTCTATTAGAATGAACATGTGCACTGAACATTACAGAGCATTGTGGTGCGCTTTCGTTTTCAAAGGAAAGATTGTTGAAAGGAAAGGCAAAGAACACTTAGCAGACATGTTTAGTGTCTAAATTTTGCTTCTTTAGATTAGCGCTGGAGCTATGAGGCTAATGTCACCCACAAACACTAGAAGTCGGTAGTCACCCAAATCTTTTCCATAAATACATCCTCAAAAACTTCTCTCAATCCGCTCAAACCACAACATTGTGGTTTAGGATACAGTATGACTCAATGTAAACTATAAAAATGAAAATGGATGCTAAATTTTGTTTGATACTTCTGTTTAAAAACATATCTTCAGTTAGGGAATTCAAGATTTTTTATTCAATCATTTGAAGCAAAAACAGAATTCAACAGTATTTCACAAATAGAAACAATTGCAAGCGAAATGGTTGTATGACAAGCATGCGTGTGAATGGGAGTCGGATTTTGGAAAAAAATCCCTGTTGTCTAAATTGGCTGCATTCAGCTACACAGTAGAAAGTGTTTACTTTGTAGTTCACAGCAAGTCACACTGTGTCCTAAACCACATACATAAGTCTACGTGACCATAACAAAGACCTGAATGCAGTTTGAGTAGGTGGAGAAAAGTTTTTAGGGACGTATTTATAGAAAAGCGCAAAAGTAAAGACACAAAATTTGAACACCAAATATGTCTTATCAGCTGATCAGTTACATCTAATACAAGTGGAAGAATGTGTACATTTGATTTTTCACTGAATCGTTCCTTTGTCTAGACATGGCAGTATACATCTACAGTAATGCACAGATCAATAGAAACCCTGTAAGAACTGTAACAGAAGTGTGTGTGTATCAGGTGGCTGGCGCCTGTTCTGTGTGCGCGGTGAGGTGGCAATAGAAGGCTCTCTGTTGGAGGTGGAGTGCTGCAGTGCCAGTCTGCGCTCTCGCGCCTGTCTACTCCTGCTGGGCGTGTGTGAGAGGCAGCTGTACCTGTGGCAGGGCTGCAAGTCTCACCCCGCTGCTCGAGAGGTGGCCAAGAGGACTGTAGAGCGCCTCACACAGACGTGAGTCATTAGCTCATAATCTTTCACCAACAAGCAACAAATATGGGTGTGGTAGTGTGCTAGCATTCAAAAGTGTGGGCTCACTTTTCATGTTAATGATTTTTGTTACATTATTCTATAATGATCTACACAGTGTACATTTAAATATTATAAACAAGACACCAAAAGGTATTTTTTGATGTTTTGGAGGATTTTGGGAACAGTAAGAAGTTTTTAAATGAGAGATAACATACTGTAATTATCTATTACCAAAGACTTGTTAAAAATGATGCCCTGAGATTTGATCACCACTTTAGAAATGTAATTTTATTATGATGTCATTCCTGATGCTGTACAGATTTCTCCATCATTTTAGTCATATTCACAGTTATTGCTAAATTTTGCACAGTATTTTATTTCAGTTACTGATATCTGTCCACAGGCTTGATTGCAATGACATTGTGTGTGTTACAGCTGTCCACCAGAGCTGGGTTTGAACAGCAACAGCAGTCTGAAGGTGCAGGAGATAGAGGAAGGCTCAGAGCCGCAGGAGTTCTGGAATGTGCTTGGCCAGCAGGATAGAAAAACATATGACTGCATGCTACAAGGTACGGCTATACTGACAATGTCAGATTCTCAAAGGCAATCAGAAAAGAGCTTGTTTCAGTCTCTGAATGCAGAGTTCTTAGTTTTCTACTCCATTCCTGAGCTAATTTTACATATCAAGACAAGTGAGGTTCACAAGTTCAGGGATTACTGAACATATCAGGAACACTGATTAGTTGTTAACAGCACCTAAAATGTTAAAAGCCGTTGGTGAGTCCACACTTCAGTTTCTTACTCTCATAACTAACATATTTGCTAGTTTCATAGCACTTACCAAATAATTCACGCTAGTTGCTGAGTAATAAGTTATTCTGTTATTAATATTAGTGTATGTGTGTGCACATAGATCCAGGGAAGTACAACTTCACGCCCCGTCTTTATCGTCTGAGTGCCAGTGCTGGGATCTTCGAGGGAGAGGAGCAGCTGAGCCCTTGTAGGGTGGTAAATGCTGTAATAGCCATGCCCTTCCTGCAGGAGAACCTGTACTCTGCTCCTCAACCAGGTAGAGCTGCTATATATCCCACATACTGCCAGACAGTATGTACGATTTGATCACATGTATGTCATAGTATAGCCAAACCCATGTACGCACTAGGGGTTTTCATAGACTATTCAACTGATAAATCTAAAAACGTATTACCTGAACTGTTAGCTTGGAAATACTACACAAAATTAAACCAGTTCCACTGCAAGCCGCATACAGTGCTGAAATACAGGCTTGTAAGCCAGAATGGGAAGATTTTAAGAACTACAATAGGAACAAACCATTTGACTTACATGCAACACATCCAATCACAGACTGTTTAGCTCAACATCCACAGTGAAAACAAACTTACAGTGCATGTGGAATGATAATGTAGATGTACTCTTTTAGATATAATGGTGCTAGTTTCATCTTTCTCACTGCTTATATTTGCCAACCAGCTTTCTCTCTCTCTCCATCTCTCTCTCTGTCTGTCTGTCTATAGCGCTGTTTCTGCTGGATAACAGGATGGAGGTGTATCTGTGGCAGGGCCAGCAGCCGGAGGACACAGAGTGTACAGGCTCAGCGGGGATCCGCTGGGACAACGAGAGGAAGTGTGCCATGGAGACTGCACTGCAGTATTGCAAAGGTCAGAGTTCAGAGTCTTCCCACAAGGAGTCTGACACAGAGGGCATGACCATTCCAGTATACTGGAGCTATGGATGTTTATGCTGTGCTTATACATTGTTGTTAACACTCTGAACAGATTCATCCGCTCTGGAAAGGAGTCTGAAGCACTACCACTGTTAAAAAAAAAATTCTTTCACATACTTTGTGCAATTACACATTTTTACCAGAGAGGTCTCCAAATCCCCAAATTTTACATAGTATTGCCTTAAGACAGGGGTGTCCAATCTTATCCACAAAGGGCCAGAGTGGCTGGAAGTTTTCGTTCCAACAAAGCAGGAGCTCACCTGATCAGCAGTTTAAAGAATGAAACCAACTAAAAAACTAATTTTCAAATTCTTGATAAGTTGTGGGCTACATGAAATGGAAAAACAGTGTAATTAACCAGGAACAGAGACTTCAAAATAACATCCTGTTCCAGAACAGTTAAGGATGATTTCATTAACGATTTTATTTTTGTTTCGCGCAAATAATACCTTTTGTTTGTGGTCTTCGTTTTTGTTCCTAGAACCAGTTTGGAGCCCTGATTATGTGGAAGTGTGTTTGCATTATGTACAGCCTTTAGTCTGATGGAGAACAATCAGCATATTAAATACATGTGTCGGTGTGTTTGTGTTTTAGCAAAGAACTCTCGGCGGCCCCCTCAGGCTTATATGATCTTGGCTGGAGCTGAGCCCCTCACCTTCACGAATATTTTCCCATACTGGGAAAAAGACCCCAGCATCAGAGTGCAGGTACACTACCACTCCCTCATGCGCACCCAGCACAACTGCTTTACTCACAGCAAGACTGCAAGTATGCTTGCCGTAGCTGTGATATTGTGACGTAGGGGTGGGCAATATGGAAAAGTTATATTACCCAAATACTTGAAGGATATTTCCAGGTACACAGTGTGTATCGTGATATGTAATTTTTCTGGGGTTTGATGAAAAAGACTATCTATCAGCAGTGCCACATTTTACAAATGCTGTCAAAAACTACAGCTAAAATAGCTTATTATTAATCCAGTTAAACAGGACCAACTATGCTTTAATGAAACCATACGATCTTCTGACAACAGAGCAAAGCCTAAGACAGCTGTGATGCTTGTTAAATCTCCCCTGTTAAATCTGTTTGTAATGAAATGTAAGTTTAAGTACTGATCACACCCACATATATGTTCAGAAAAACTGATTATGATGGAATTTATGATGATGATGACATGACATGAATTTATCATGATGTTTCAATAAATGTGTGTGCATATGTGCTCTTATGCAGGGCTTGCGCAATAAGGTGATCCTAGTGGAGGATGCTCTGTCCAAACTCAGCAAGAACCAATACTCCATAGAGGAGCTGACCGCCAAGCCGCTGCCTGAGGGTGTGGACCCTCTGCACCTGGAGCTCTACCTGTCTGACAAAGACTTCCAGGTACACAACTATTCTACCTCACTTTCTTTCCTCAACTAATGCTGTGCTCCCCAGCTCTGTTTAGCCAGCCCTCATAGGATGTTTACATATGAAAAATCTAGCTAAAAGAGACACTATTTCTGCCTTCTATACTACTCTTCTACATTAATAACATGATTTCCAAGTGCTGTTGTTGCATTTACTTTGACATTTAAAGGACATGGTCTAACAAAGCCAGACATTTGCAGATTTTGTCACAGACTACCATTTTGACCAAGAAAACCTATTATGAACAGGAATATACGTTATAAAGCCAAAAGTTTGTGCACACCCTTCCTTATTGTTTTCCACGCCCGTTGCTAACGGGTGTATAAAAAAATCAAGCACATAGCCATGCAATCTCCATAGACAAACACTGGCAGTAGAATGGGGTGTACTGAAGAGCTCAATGACTTAAAACGTGGCATTGTCATAGGATACCACCATAGATGTAGTCCCAATTTCAACATTTTATAAATACGTACATATATTAGCATCTGCTTAACAGGTATGTACACAATTACCATTTCACTGCACCTCTGAGAATACACAGCTAGAGGTCTGAATTCTGTTCAGATTTTAAGGAGTGTAAGGGGACAAAGCCTGTGAATGTATCACCACCGAGACAGTAATTGTAAATTGTATCTCCCTGTGCCCTTAAAGACAGCACTTTTTGAGCAAACTCTTCCAAATGTCTATGGCTCCTTTTTACATGAGTTAAAAGTAAATGAGTCTAAGAGATCATATAACTTGTAAAATTATGTTTGAATAATAATGTACAAGCTTGAATTATGAATATGTAATATGTTTCCAGGCCACATTATTAAACTGTAATGTTTTAAAGGCAACTTCCTAGAATCCCCTAGTGCAAAGCGCTGAGTTTGCTCACTCAGCTTGGACTGATCTTAATGCGAAATTATCCCTACAGTATGAGCTCAATCTATAAAATGTAGTGGTCTGTCAATAAAACTCTCCAAACTATCAATTATATGTAATGGTTTTCCAATGAGGCTTTCATGGGTCTGGTATAACTAATGGGTTTTTCCATGAATATTAGCGTTTTGAAAGTGAACAGGGAGACTGTGCAGAGAAATGCCTGTGTTCTGTAGCTGCAGATGAGAGTTGATCTAATGTGTTTTTATGTGCCGCAGGATGTTCTGCAGATGACACGAGAGGAGTTCAGCACCCTCCCCAACTGGAAACAGCTCAACCTGAAGAAGAGCAAAGGCCTCTTTTAAACAAAGAAAACATCCTTTAGATCTCTGCAGCATATCCACGAAGGGACAGATGGATTTTTTTGTGTGTTTATATGAAAAATCTGCTCATGTATAGCATTAATTGTACAGTTGGAAACTTTTTAAAGAGATGTATCCGCCTATCTCCCCCCTTAAAGATGATCATTTTATAGAAAACTCTTCCAAATGCCAATTATCGTAGCATTCCAGCTCTTTTTACACGAGTTGAATGGACTTCCTATGTACCCTAAATATGCAAAAGTATATTAGTCGGGGATATCATGTGACTTATCAACATTATGTTTGACTAATTATGTACATGCTTGAATTATGAATGTGTAATATGTTTCCAGGTATATTAAGCCACATTATCAAACTGTGATGTTTTAAAGGCAACTTCCTAGAACACTAACTTGCTAATGCAAAACATGTATGCTCTTCTCTCTGTGGCTCTAGAGGTGTGCAAAAAGAACTACTTTTGAAGCCAAACGTGTGCACATGTGCCATTCTGCGCATGCCAGGGTGAACTAAAGTTCCATGAAAGGAATACTCCAGCACTTTTTTAACCTAACCTCTGTCTGCCACATCTCTAACACCTCCCCATTGGCTTCTATTATATCCACTTTTGAGTTGGGATGGGGAAAATTAAGTTTGTGTTGTGAAATGTTCAAAAAAACATTCTAAAAATGAGATGCAGTCATGATTGGATATAAAAAGATCATCCAAGAAAGGTCCTGTGAGCAAGGATTGGCCACTTTGCCTAAAGTGAACACTTTCCTCAACGAGTGATTGCAAGAATTGTATGTATGTAATTTCATCCTCTATGGTGTATAATATCACTACTGAATGCTCAGTCACCCAGATGGCACTGCATTAAAAACCAGCATGGTTCTGTGATGGACCACCACATGGGTTTGGGAATATTTCAACAAACCTTTGACAATGAACACAACTGGTCAGGGTGTCCACAAATGCAAGTTAAGATTGTACACCGGAAGTCGTATGTCACAACGTCCAAGAACACTGCTGATGTATCTGGCTTTGAGCTCATCTGATGCAGAGTGGCAACCTATATTGTGGTCTCACGAGTCAACCTTTCGGATTGTTTATGGAAATAATGGACGTTGTGTTCTCCGGGCCAAAAAGGAAAATGATCATTAAGATTGTTGCCAGCATAAAGTTCAAAAGCCATTGCCTGTTGTGGTATGGGGGTATTAGAGTCCCACGGTGTGTGTAACTTGCACATCTGTGAAGGCACGAGTAACACTGAAAGATATACACACATTTTGTAGCAACATATGTTGATAACATAAGTTTCACATGATAACACCAAGCCACATTTGCACGTGTTACAACAGCATGGATGTGTAATAAGAGGTGCAGGTGGTAAACTGACCTCTCTGCAGTCTAGACGTGTCTCCTGCTTCTTTGGATCATGTTGCAGACATCAAACATGGAATGGGCAAAATATGTCAGAATTATTGTCTCTTATTATCGACTACGCTATGAAGCAGATAGCAGATAGTGATTAGGTTGAAAAATGATGGAGTATTTTATTGTAACATATCTTACAGTGTTATGTCATTCTCTAAACTGTGGCTTTCCAGTCTGTCTGTATCATTACAAATATCAATAACTATCATTCTTTTTTTCTAATTGAATACACAGTGCAGTTTATGAAACTGTCCTCAGTATCTCTCTGTGTTTCTTTTCATAGAATGGTGAACTGAAATGGGATGTTCCACCTCTGAACACTAGGTGTCAAGCTTGCTCTTGTTAAATCCATGTGAATGGTCCAGTAATCAGTGTGTCATTAACACCACCAATTTACAGAGAGGCATTACTCGTAGCCATATGTTACAGTACTCTACATACTTGCTGTGTTTTTGCATGTGGAATGAAGCAATCCAGATCCATGGTGTTGATGTATTTTGGTGTTATAATTTACTCTCATAGCAAAATGCAGCTAATTGTTTCTCACAGATGCCGCTACTGTGTAAAAGCAATAATTCCAGTGCCGGGTTTTGATGTAATGTGGCGTATGTAAATGCACAGGACAAAAATGAAATATTCAAAGCTTCTGTAAGCAAGAAAAGATTCAATCAAATCTGAAGACAGCTGTTTCATAAATAATGTTTCTGTCAGTTTAATGTTCAGACCAGGATAAAGGGCTCAGTTTGGGCAGGATTGTGTTGGATTAGATTTTTGGACTGACATGCAGTCATGAGGAGTTAAAGAAAAGGAGGCTGTATAACTGTAGCCTTCATTTCTATGATACTTTCTATGATTTCTATGATGCTCACGAAACCCCTCTGAGGGAATATGACGGGTTGAATGCTGACGGTTTGAAGTTTTCCTGAAAATCATCAAATTCCAATTTGAAGTTTTAGAGTCATGATGTTCTTTGGTGAGATGTCATTAGGGAACTCCAGCCTTGAGTTGAGGCTGGATTGAAATTAGGATATGATGGGCACTATGAAGACAGGGAGAAGGTGATGTATGCTGTAGAGTGAGTCAATGGGGAAGTAAGAAAGAACAGAGTAATTGGTTACTCCAATGATATAACAGTAGCACAAAGTGTGAAAATGCTTCTCCTGGGAGCCTGATATTCTCTATAATCCCTCTCCGCAGCCTGCGTATACTTACATTCATCATTTATTATTTGTTTTTGTAATGGCACATTCTTTTGTTTCGCAGCACAAGTTGTGTGCTTACAAGGCTGTCAGAAACTCCGAGCACATCTGCTGAGCCTCCCCTGAGAAGCTATTGGAATCCATCGGTCCATTCTAGCATGCTTTGATTTTCCTTTGTATCATTTCAAATATTATACACACGCACTCACACACACACACACTCACGCACACAAAGGTGAAATCGTCATCACCACGGCAGATGGCTGAGCCGGAGACTGCCTTGGCTCATAGCGTGATGGCCTGCAAGATGAACACTGCCTTTAATTTATTTATTTCTCAGAATCCCATGCAGGGAGGTGGACCAAGGAGTTGACTGCTGATCAGTTTGGAAACAGTTTCACTCTAGCAGAAAAAAAGCAGCTCATAGTACTGTGCTTTTGGGCATGGCAGTGTCTTGCCAGCAGTCTCTGAGCCCCACTGCTTCTTACTGCTAACAGGCTGACTTGCATACACTTACAGACGTTTTTGTTGAATTCTGATAGGCTCTGTGTGTCAATTCAGGTACTGTGCACTATATCCTTACACTATATGGAACATTCCACTGAATTAGTTCAAATTGCTGTTCCAGAGTAAAAAAACTATAAAAAAACAATAACACAGACCTTAGATATTTACAAGAGTTATGATCCGTTTAAAGCCAAGGCAATAATTGAGGTATTAATAAGCTAAATATATACAAAGTTATCGTTTGTAGGGTTCTTTCTCTTGGGAGGTGGCTCTGTCCCAAACCCTAAGCCCTTAAACTTCAATTTGTAAAAATTATACTTACTTTTTCCCCCCAAACGAACTTTTTGACGTCTTTTTCAAGTGAAGTTGAAAGATTTATGTTGATCATGAGTTTAAAAAAAAACTGTCCCACGGTGTTTTAGTACATAGGCGGAGCCTTATTGTAGCCACACCCCTCCATTTTAGAGCAGGAAGTCAGACTGCATCCCTGTCCCTCATGGCCACATGATGAGTAGTTAGATCTCATTGTTTTGAAGTAAAGTGTCTCAAAGTCTAAAAATCAGTGTGACATTAAGAACTGCCACTACCGAAACACATATTTTCTGTAATTAAGTAAACTGTTTTGTGTTTTAATGAAAAAGTGTGCACAGCTGTGTTTGCTAGTCATGTACTGGCTAGCGAGTTGGGCCTAAAACTAGCTAAAATTGTCACTACTGAAACATTTGGTAAAGTTTTGTTAGTGTTATAATTGTGTTGATGATAAAATGGAATGTTCAATCATTTATTTTAATTAAACATAATTAATTTATGGGATCATTCAAAGCAAAAGGATTTCAGTCTAAAATACAAGTCAGTCAATGATCCATATATTAGGATTGAAATTGGCCCCTGGAACTGGAAGATTTTTGCTCTATATAGCCAATTTATTTTTGTTGTTTTGCCGTATCAATGTTTCAGATTTTTTATTTAAGCTTTTTACAATGCTAGAATTAAAGTGGATAACGGTGAATCAACATTGTTTCAACATTTCTTTGCTGGGTGAGGTTCTGCACTAAACCGAAATGACAAATTACTGCGTGATACCTCACGCTTTGACTCCATTGGACTCTGGTTCTGTTTTCGAACAGAACTTCCTTTTCTATCTTCTCTTCCTGATTTTGCCTAATTTGGTAGCCACGTGGATCCACATGCTAGTCAGCTTTGCCTGTACATTTAGGGAGACCATGGGTTACATTAATTAAGCTAGGCCTATTTGGCTCTACTTGAGCCACTGCTCTCTTGGTGTCCTCTTGGTCAGTGCTGTGGATCTTGTTGCTTATACTGAGTTAAACTGAATAAGTCGAAGCTGCTGGACAGCAGAGTGGATAACACAACTTTAAGCTTGATGAGAACAATTAAAGAACAAATACATCTAATTCATATCTGAAATTTGCAGCAGCCGCTGATGGCTCCTCTCTTTCTGCTATGTGCAGTGTGGAGTCTAATCATACATCCACATTCTGATCTCACTTCTCTCGGTTTCTGGTCACAATTTTCTAAAATGTTTCGTAATGCTATTGCATGAATCATACACATCAGAGCTGTCAATCAGAAACTCATATGTATGTGCCTGACTTTTTATGAACCTAAATGTATTTGTAAAAAAACGCAACAAAGCTAGCACACAACTAAAGATCAGTGACAGGTTTTACAGTTAACTGGCAATATATGGACTTTAATATATGACATATTGTAGCATATATGGATTTCCTTTATATTCAGCTTCTGTTTATCACATATGGAGACATATATGACCTATATGCCAACATATTTAAAATTGTCCATTTTCAGACATATTTCAACATATACAAACATATTTGTGTAACACATCTAACAATATAGGATTAACATATATGTACACAACATATATGTAAAGAAATGTTTAAATATATGCCAGACACTTTGGCATATATGTACATATATTGCCATATATTAGATTTCCTTATGGGATAGTTTACATGCTAATAAAAGCATACTAAGTTGCGAACTCTGCTTGAGGGTACTTGTGAAGTGAAATCAGGACAGGGATGTGAGTTCAGGCTTCAAAACCGGCTTCTCTAGGAGTAAACAGTAACAGTACACAACATTATGTTTCCTTTTCCGTTGTGAATACAGACATCTCGTTGTCTGGTGCACTATTTGATGTGATACAGAATCTTTTTGTTTCTCTAAGGATAGAGATCCTCAGCCATCAGCAGCTCTTATGACCCGTTTTCTCTCCCTTCATTACAGTTTGAGTGACATTAACAGGTTTTTGCTCGCAACGCACATCAGGCTTAACATCACAAGAGGCAGAGCACTCTGTTGCAACGCATCTGCGCCAAGCAGTCTGACTTCAGATAGACTTAATGTGGCTGTGTTTTCATCTCCCCTTTAATAGGATTTGGCTGTAAAAAAAAAAGTAGATTTGACAGTTGGAGAGAAAAACGCTCTTTCCAAGGCTAAACAAAAGTACTCCTGCCCTTGAGGTCCTAATCAGTGTTAGAATAGTGGATGTAGGTAAGTATTCTATATAAAAAAATCAATGATTAGAACGTTTAGTATTTCAGTGAATGAGGCTGCAGAGGCCTTGAGGAAGCTGCGAGTGAGAGAGAGAGAGAGAGAGAGAGAGAGAGAGAGAGAGAGAGAGAGAGCAAACAGTAAAAGACTGAATGAGGGAGAGAGGGAGTGTTCTTGATGAAGAGAGACAGGGTAAAAGAGAATGGATGGTGTTTCTGTTGTGAATGCTCATTATTGCTGTTGGTTATTTTGCTGGCACTTCTGCTCAGAATGACTAGCATTGGCCGGAGGCACAGAGTTGCATGAAGAGGTGCTCAGCATAAAAGCACAAGTGGGGGACATTATCAGCCAGGATTGCAGCACTAAAATATCATTTTCACAATTTCCCCTTGACTCTTATTATAGTTGATCAATCAAGACATATTTGGTGTATTTAAGTGTGCTTCTCAAGTTTTGCACTGGAACTATAAGGCTAATAACTAACAAATAACCAAAGCTTATTACCACAGTTAGCATTGTTCAGACTGCAAGCCTAAATCATCACACACTTGCTTCACACCACATCTAGTTGTTAAGTAATCTCAAACAGACTTGCCTATGTGTTTTTCAACACTGTATTATGTCCTGTTGTCAATGAAAATGGGCAAAAATATGGACAGTGTTCAGTTGAAGATGACTGCTACTACTGTTTTGTCCATGTTTTGTGAATAACAGTAGTCATACAGCATCAGGAGCCACTTAAGTGAGTTTATTTGAGATTACTTAATAAATAGAGTTTACTAGAAGGCAAACATTTGATGATGCAGTTTACACAGTTCTCACTTCTTTGCTGAAAAAAGCTTATGCTATACTGGTTTACGTTGGTTTGGTGCTGGCTTAGCAAGTCATCTGGCATGGCCATGCAGGTTGATCAACATATCAGCACCCAAAATACAGCACATGCTGGTTTTGGTTGTGATTAGCATAGCAGCTTCCATTGCTGACCAGCATATCTGCATCCAAAGCATGT